GGTTCAGGGAGCATTGTGGAAGAGGGGAGGAAAGATTGTAAGAGCCAAAGGACTGGAGTGCTAGATAGTATCTTCCAGAAATGATAGTAAAGCTGCACCCATGAAATTCAGGAACATTTTTCCTGTACTCTGACAGTTGAGAATGATGGTGAGGAGCCAATTTTCCATTGAAACAAATGGGTGTTTCACCCATAGATCTTTATGTAGACTGTGAAAATGGATGATTCTGGGGGCCTAGAGGCTTTGCTATTGGTTTCAAGAGTTAACTAAGAGAGAGGAGCCAGGCAACAATGTACAACACATATATAAATTTTTTATATGTGTATATGTGTATATTTTAGATTAGGCTGAGCTGCATAGCTATGCAATGAATATAAACCAGTCTTGACTATGTAGTTAGTCCCTGTTTCAAATATGCAAAACAAACAAAACATCAAATCAAAACAAACAAAAATAACTATACTGTATAAATTTACAATTAAGTAACTCACATTAAAATGAAAGTGAGAAAATACAAAACTCATTCTTTTCTGGCTGTTTTATTGCCAGTTACACTCTCCAGGCCTGCTGGATTTGAGTGAGGATGTGCTCTATAATGGATGCTACTGCATATCCCTTCCCAAGTCAACATCTGGGAACATCATTTTGGTTGCTAGAAATCAGCCACATTGGAACTATTTATACTATGAAAATTGGTGTAATTTGGAAATTACATTGGAAAGTATATTGCTTCTAAATCAAATTCAACAAAATAAAAACCTGCAGATATGATGGCCAAGCATTTGCTAACACAGCACTGACTTAGGATATCTCAGGTATTGCTATTCAAAACCAATGAAAGTAAAATAATTATCATGTACTAAGCTTTAGGTAAAATTTATAGCCCTAGGCACCTGGAATGAACTCCTCTGTGGAATACTGAATGGCAGGCATGATAGTGTCAAGGTACTCGAACTGTCTGGTTATAAAACCTTAAGTGTGTGTATTAGAACACTTCAGAAAAACAGAGCCAATTGTATATAACTCCACACACTTACAGGTACACATACACATGTATATATACATAGTTTTGTGTGATGTGAGACTGAGCTAGACAAGTTCACAATCTGTACGGCAGGTTGGCAAACTGAAGACTTAAGCAGAAGTCAGCGCTAACCCCCTCTCCCCCAATAAGTTTGCTGAAAGGCTCCATTTAGCCTTGTTAGAGATGTGTGTGGGTCCCATGATAGCTGATAATATACTTTGGATCATGGAATACTATTGCTGTTATAGTCTGACGAGTCTCGTAATGCACAGCTGTAGTTCTGCTGGGTTGTTCCCTGTAGAAACAGAAAAGTTGTAGGAATTAAAACTTTTTTGTGAGAAGTTTTATTCATTATTTCTAAAATTAATGCTGAGAAATAGTGTAAGAGGTGTGTGTGTGTGTGTGCGTGCGCGCGTTGCTTTGGGTCTATATGTGTGTCTGTTTGGTGCTACTTGTCCATATAAATTCAAGAATAACTTGTGTTCAGGTAGTGTTTTTTATATGTCTAAAAATTTTCAATGTATCGATAAATAAGTTATATATATTTGAACAAGGAGAAAAGAATTTTTAAAATTGATCAAATTATATACGAGTATAATAATTTTATAACATATCAGAGCCAAGGTTAGGTGCAATGTGAGGAAAGCATGGTTGTCTGGAGTCCTGCTGACCTTCAAGTATCGCTCATTCCATGCTCCATTTTTCTTGTTCCTGGTCCTTCTGTGATCATTCTAACCTGATCTTCCATAGTCAGCTTCTCTGACATATGAAAATCAGCCAACTGATGGATACAAAAGACCTATGGAATTTTCCTCTGCCTCATCCAGAGTAGTGGGTTGGAAATTCACTTTGTACAAATGACTAAATCAATTTAAACTCCTAATTTCTTGGTTGCATTCAAAAAGGATGTTTTTGTAAAATTTCACGTGAAAATTTTAGAAACACAAGAATTAGCATTTAAAGCCCTTATCAGAAATTGACAACACCAAAGGGTGACAGCAATAGAGATTGTTTGAATGAGCCCCAAGGTAGAATATTAGTTGAATTTTCTCAAGCTTGACAAAAGTTTGAACATTTCTCTTTATAATGCTGAAGAACTTCACCAAAGAAGAACAATATGAGAGGATCACTTATAGTAATTCCTTACTATGAAAAATCTTTAAAAAGTGTTTTTATTTTTTAATGAATTTGAGCTTAAAGAAATTTGAACCAAGCCATTAAATAAAGCTGGTTCCTTTACTTCAGCAACTCATGATTGGCTGGTACAAGAATTTCAGACTAACTCAGTTCAGGTGTGTTGACTCCAGTGAAAATTGTCTTAAGTCTGGAAAACTCTAGCTAAACCTTAAGTTATTCTGAAATATTTTTGCATCACTACATCTGTTTCCTTTGATGATTTCTTTTAAGCAATGTCCTGAGACCCAGATAATCAACCTGATGCATTATAAAGGCACATCAACTGAGGGAATCAAATGCCTCGGTACCAGTCAAGCAAATTGACTAGATTTCATTTAGATAGAGGATAGGACAGCATTGACACAGTCTGAAGAAGGTCAAATCTGAAATAAAAGCTGTCTTTTCATCGCTTGAACTTGGAGGTTTAGGAATTGAAGCCACTGTTACATTTTTGTCATCTTTAAAGTTTCTCCCTCTGATTTCCCACCTACCACTGGGAAAGAGTCTCTGTAGTAATTTTTCTCGTTGTTCTGATGTTCTAGAAAATCTGAGAACACAGTTGACGGGAGTCTGAAATCCCCTTCCAGGAACATCATTTCTGTTGTTTGCTTGGAATTTGCACTCTGAGGTCCCAAGTTGTAACCTCTGAGGCCAGTGAGTTTGTGGTAGCAGATCTGCAGAGGCTGTCTCTTGTGGGCTAATGAGGTCCTGCTATCTGCTGCCCTTAACCACCACGCCATTTACCAGGTCTAATTTCAGCAGTTTTCAGATCCAGGGCCATGTTTGGAGAGAGTGGGATTTGGCAGGATCAAATTTCTCCTGTCATTACAGCATCTTGGACTGGAAATGTGCTTCTGGGTAGGCTTTGGGGAAAAGACATCGTAAAGAGGACATAATTGAAGGGGACATAGACGGAGGAACAGTCTCATTTTCTTTCATAGAAAATAACATAGTTTAAGATCTGACTGCATGTCCTTTTAGCCCGTTCTGCAACTTCCTGTATTTGCCTTGCTTTTTCTCATTTTACTATGGACTTGGGATAATCTGCTCTGGGTTGGTGTTGTATGAGGTTGCTTCTGAGCAGTAGGAAAGTGAAAAGACCAGACTGACTTCTGAATATGAAGGACAGCTCTTTTTCTTCATCTAACCTCTGCCCTTCTCTCTGTCAAAACTATAAGACCTGCTACCTTTTCAGGGTAAATTTCCAAAGTTTATTCCAAAATATGATTATATAATAAAATTAAAAATAATATAAGATTGTGGTTCTATCAAATAATGTTTTCTTTTTAAGTATTTTATTTATTATTTTTATTTTATGTGTATGAGTGTATTGCCTGTATGTATGTGAGTACACCCGTGTCACACAATGCCACGGAAGTCAGAAGAGGACAACGAATTTGTCTGGAACTGGAGTTAAGGACGGTTCGTAGCCGCCATGTGGGTGCTGGGAATCGAACCTGGGTCCTCTGCAAGAGCACTCAGTGCTCATGACTGCTGAGCCATCTCTCTAGCCCCTCATCAAATAACTTAAGAAAGAAAAGATCATGTATCCAAATATCTTTATATTTGTCTCAATTTCAAGTTCCTCCTCAGAGAGAACGATGAACCTGAATTTGATGTTTATTACTCTCAAGAATGGTATGCTTCCCTTCCTTATAAAAAATCCGTGTGATTTTTATGGTCTCGTACCATCTTAGGAGTCTTATAAAATCTAACTTTTATATAATCTTAAGAATGTTTTCCATCCGGGTCTTGTTTTCAGTAGGAGCTCAAGTTTAAAACTGTGTAGAAGCATGAGATACCCTACATTTTATGCTGAGCTGTGTGAAACTTTTATATGTACTGTTAAACATTAAAAGTGAATTTTATAGTCATAACGTTAAGTGATCATTTCATTTCAATGCCCGAGAGTAACTTTCATGTCAGGGAGAATATGTTGGTTTTTATGTAGCAAATAATTGAGTGGATTTTCCTTTTTTTCCCCCTTCTGTATATTCTGATAAACATTTTTGACACAAACCAAGCTGTCTGTGTTGGAAATTCACATTCTGTACAATAATATTCTATTTTAATTTCATGCAGTGAAGGATTAGCTTCTACTTGCAGTTGTGCTAAAGAAAGCAGTGTTGTCAAAAGAAGTGGCCTAGTATATCAAGAGATAAATCTGCTGCCTTAAATACAAGACTTTCACTGCCTTTTATTCTACATTTCAGTATGACATAAGCATTAATTAAACCCATCAGTGGCTTCTTCTTTCCAAGAGAACATTTTCCATCTGACAAGAAATGTCAACTGAAGAATGTGCGACACAGGAGAGCTGCCATTAAAAACACCCCCCTCTCACCTATGCATTCCCACAGACAGGCTGGCAGGAGAACACAGCAGCTATTACCAACATCTCTTGCCCCTGCTGCCTAACAGACTGTGATGATGGAACTCACGAGTCTTTCACCCTGTTGACATTTCCAAAGACAAACACGTTTAAGACTCTGATCTCTCCTGTCACCTGATGTTATTTGGTAAATTTCAAATAAAAGTAGGAAAAAGCTTTGGTGTTTTGAGGGTTTTTATGCACTTGCATTCACGTACATAAAGGGGACAGAAACTAAATATCAGGTTTAACTTAAGTCTCACAGGTGTCTGCAATGTTAAAAGCACAGATGCTGAGATCCAGAGTGAGTCCAGACAGATGGCTAGTGGAGGAAAGGGGACAAGTGCCCCCAGGATTTGAGTAAAGTTTCCCAATTCTATCCCAAATCCTTGACATTTCATACTGACGTTGTCTTTCTTCTCCTTGCAGGGGAGCACTTACGAATCTGTCCTCAGGAATATACGTGCTGCACCACAGAAATGGAAGACAAGTTAAGCCAACAAAGCAAACTGGAGTTTGAAAACCTTGTAGAAGAGACAAGCCATTTTGTGCGCACCACGTTTGTGTCAAGGCACAAGAAATTTGATGGTAGGTGAACCTGCGTGTGCTTTGCTGTTTCTCATGTGGCTGTTTTTGAATAAGAATTTTATTCTTGAAGGAAAAGCCTTTTTAAGGGGAAGATTTTCATTCCCTCTTACACATTTATAGTATTGTCAATTTTTAGAAAAAGCATGAACGTTCTTGACAGTATGTTATTTTCTAGTAATATTTTGGAAAAATCTTAGTACAAAGAGCTGTTTTGTATTTGTGTCTGGCCAGTTTAGCTTACATTTTAGCTCCTCTTCAGTTTTCCTATGGGAATTTTATTTTTAAAAACTTGTGCCAACCTTATCTAAAGGAATATTGGCAACTGATAGCTGCTAGATGAGGAAGAGCTGATCTTCCTAAAACAAGGGACTCTAGTTAGGCTGACTAGACTCAGCGGATGGACTCGAACTGGGGAATGGCTGGGGGCATTGACAACACAGTGGCCAGTAACAGGGATGACAGAGTATATGGGCCCCAGAGGGGGTAGGGGGAGGCTATGGGAGGGTGCTATTTGGGATGCAGGCATAAAAATGAATAAGATTGTTTGGGATGTTCTGTATGAAATGCACAATTTTAAAAAATTAAAAAACAAACTTGTGTCACAAAGTTATTTGAATCAGCACTTCCTTTTAAGAGGATGGTTTGTCTGAATGGCTACTGACATGTGGTACATTATGTGCAACAGGTACATTCTGCATAGGATTGAGACTCATTCATTTCATGACTGTAACAAACTTATTTCATTACATATGCTAATTTTAAGTAAATATTTTTGTATTTGAAAGCACAAAGAGGGAAGGGAATTATTGGTGTGATTTCAGTTTGAATATTCTCACCAGAATCTTGAAAAAAATATTCCATGCAATCTCACTCTTAACAAAAGTTTAAATATGAATAAGAATCAGGGTAGTGTTGTTGGAAGATGTGTAGTTCTTAGTGGTCTAAGAATTGGATGCACTATACTGTGATTCATTGTGAACCAGACTTGCAAATTGTTTAGGCCTTCCCTGCTCCCCATATTCTACTGCCTGAGGGAAACAGAGCCTCCAGTCATTTCCAACACTTTGCTCAACCTGCACAACAGAGCCAACTTGCCAAAGCTTTTCTTTCTGTTTTCTGTGTAATAGGTAAAACATTCTGTTTAATTGCCACTTTATTATTGTAACACTAATTTCTTTCAAATTAATTCTCCAAGTTAGGAAAGATAGACGTTTTAGTACTCCAATGTCACTACATTTTCCATGCAAGTGAGTGGAACTGTATCTTTTCTGCAAGGATGCTTCAGTGCCCTCAGAGTCCTTTATTTCTCTTGCTCTGTATATAATTTTATCTGTGGACTTATGTGAAAATAACTCATTATTTAAGTGTGATGCTGTGAATGTTTTTCTCTTGAATCTAATAAGGTGGAGGTTTTGGGGATTGTCCTTATTTGACAGATTACAATCCAGTGGCATTCAGGAGCCCCACATGTGGCTTTGGGTTTAGGCACCTACAATTTATCATTACAAATTGAGACATCTTGTCCTTGGTTACAGAAATCAGGTGAGTGTGATCAGCTGCTGCTGATTTTTAGTTATGTCTATGGGAAAAAAAAACCCCAAAAACCTCTAATGGCCTTTGCAAAGTTGTACTCCAAATCATGCTGATAATTCCAGGGTACAATTCACAGTAAAGAATACAGATTCATTATAAGAAAAGTATTAGATGTTAAATAGCTTCAAGAGAAATAAAGCTATTCAACAAGGCCAAGGTACAGACTTTTGGTAGCAATAATTTTAATATCTTTGGAGCTACAATAATTAATCGTACATCTCTTTTGTTTTAATTAAGAAATATCTCTTTTCATCTTTAAAGAAGTGTTTTAATTGTGCTAATGCACTTCAGGGTCTGATGTCAATCAGTTTGACAGAACATTGATTTTTTGTCAAGATTGGCTCTGACATGGGTATGATGAATTCCTTAGTAACTCCTTCTTTCATTTGCATTAGATGCCATGGGAGAGAAGATATTTTAGGACAGATTTACACAGGCTTTTTAACCAAAACCTTAGTATTGTCTAGATGAGTCAGATTTTGAAAGCTCATTCTTAAAAATAATTATAAAACATATGCACTGAAAATTTACAATCATAATTTCTGACCTTTCTTTGGCAATAAGTTCTCTTATGTAACTGTGTGATTTATCCTACTAGCCCACAAAGATGGTTTGTTCATTGAACCTTTTGAGAAAGATGATGTATGCAATGAAACAGCTGGACAAGTGCCTGTACCACTGAACTGTAACCCAAGTGCCCCCACATCTTTCTTTTTAAGAAAAGTCACTTCTTCAGGCATTTGTGTGTGATTATCAGTGGTTGTGACACAGAAGAACTATCTAGCTAGGACCAGCTGTGTGATGTTAACTTCTGAGTTCCATTTTCTTCCATAAAAACAATGAAAGTCTTGGAGTTTAGTTGTAGAAACTTACAGTGTCATGAGTCCATATGTGTTATTCCCAAGGTCTTGTGATCCACAGTGTCCCACTTAAGGTTCTGCCTGTGGCCCATTTTCTCAGAAGTCTAAGACTTGCCATTTGTATTTCATGTGTCTTTGTTAGCTATACCTGGCTGCATGAAAGAAACTACTGTTTACTTCAGATCAGAGGACAGTAATTTTCATGAAGTATAGCAACAATCTCAGTTATACCTAATATGTGTGAACAGTCCTTGGTATATTCAAAACATAACTCCAATCACAGTGATATTTTCTGATAGTGTCTTATTATTATGTTAGAAATACCTGTCTTGGGGCTGGATTAATGGCTCAAAGGTTAAGAACATTGATTATTCTTGTAGAAGATCTGGGTTCAAATCTCAGCACCCACATGGCAGCTAACAACTGTCTGTAACTCCAGCCTCAGGGGATTCGACAGCCTCTTCTGATCTCCAAGGGCATTGCATGACATGGGTGCACTTACCTACATGCAGGCAATGCATGTGTACACATAAAAATAATAAATACAATTTAAAAAAGAAATACCTGTCTCCCTCCCCACTCTTTAAACCCCATCAGTGATGATTCTCTAGAAATTTGGCAACTATATAGACAGACAGACAGATAGATAGATGATAGATAGACAAATATAGATATAGATACTGTTGTTGCTATATATTTTTCTCAGGTTTTTAATTAATATTCTGGGTAAAAGAAGATAATACTATTTATAACTGAAATAGTTATTATATGATGGGGAGATAACACTGAGTAAATCTGAGCTCTTTCCCAACATTTCTAAACCACCATGTTAAGCTTGATAGACCCATTAGCACTAACATTGGAAGCTAAAAGATAAGGAATTGAAAAGATATAGATGGCTACTTGCAGGAATTGTATGCTTTTACAGAAAATTAGCTAGATGACTATTTTTCTTTAGGATTGTAAAATTGAAATGTGATGATATATATAATCTACACATATATTTGTGTGGGGGGTAGCTTCACAACATTGATACTTTTACAAACATTTCATAAGATTTTTGTGTGTTTCATTCTCTGGCCATAAAAAGCCCTCAAGCCCCTCTCTCTTTTGGTTGGGCCAAAAGAAGACAGAGTTGCTTTGAACATGTTTTGCCACCAAGCTGAGCATTTCTGTTACTCTCCAAGGGTTAAAACTGTGCAGTGGAATCCAGCTAAGTACCCCTGATGGTGTTTCCCATCGAATTCCCTTACTTCACTCTCCTCGTGTTCACCGTATACCTCATGCAGGCGGAAGTTCAAAACCATGCAAACAATGTGTAAAATGCAAACAAAGGATGGATGGGATCATCATTGTCTAATCATTTAGCAAGAATTTTATTTTACATTTAATGACCAGTGATTTTTCAAATTCACATGTGTGTCTAACTCTATGCTGCTTTTATTCTTCTAAGGACTAGTTCATAGGGCTTGAGTCTTGAATTAGGAAGCATCCTCACAGTATAAGAGTAGCCAGAGACAACACCTGGTCCTGCTCCTCATGATGCTAACTTCATCTATCAGAGTTATGTGTAATGTCACACAGTTATCAAGTGCAGAATCTAGATTCTATCCCAGGTTGAACATGCCTTCTTGGTCACTGCACTCTGTCACCTCTTCCCCATAATCTAGTTCCCAAATGTGCCAATTTTTCACACTCAACCAACTCCCTATCCACATATCTCCCTGCCTGTCCTGCCCCAATTATTGCAGGGATGAAGTGGAAATGATTGTCAGAAAAAAAGTAGTTGGAGATGTTTTTAATCCTTAAACAGGAAAATTATTTACCTAAATATAGTCCAGTTCCCCAAGGAGCCTGGAGCATCTAGAGGGAAAGTGCCTTGCCAAGCTTCCACAGAGGAGGAAGAAGGAGGAAGCCAAGAGTGTAACATGACCCCTACATTAGTCTTGAAATTGTAGTGATATAAGAAATCAATATTTGGTCTATTTGTTTTGAGTAGACATGGGAAAAATATCTACTGATGCTTCTTTGGCAAAACAATTGCAATATTGGTGTGTAAAGAATCCAGCCATATTTTCTGGAAAAGACAGAGACATTATTCAGTTGGAAGTTGTTCCCAAATTAAAAAGGAATGGAAAAACAATGCTATTGAATCAATGGGAGCCTGTCGTTTATTTTCCTTACCTTAAGTAGCCCAGTGGATTCTAGCCTGATGTAGGCACCCTTTCTCCAGGAGTGTCTGCAGAAGACATATTACTCAGAAGCAAGAAATTTTGCTTGAAAGGATATTTTTTCCCTTTATTCAGTCTGAAATTTATTCATATTTGGAGCTTTCTGTGAGATTTTTTGCTTAATATTTTCTTCTTGGTCTTATTATTTTACTTTTCTTTCTGGTTCTTATTTATGCATTTTAGTGGTATACATTTATCCAGAGATTTTTGGCAGCAAGTGCATTTTTAAAAGCAAAATATAAACAAAAGAACAGTATTTTCCATCCTCGTGAAGAACTTACTCTGTAGTAAGACCCTCAGAATACCCATTGCATCA